ACTACTAGCACTACTAGCACTACTAGCACTACTAGCACTACTAGCACTACTAGCACTACTCGCACTACTAGCACTACTAGCACTACTAGCAGTACTACTACTACTACTACTACTACTACTACTTCAACTCCTACTCCTCCTCCTGCTGCCACGGCTGCAAGTGCTGCTACGGCCAAGCTACTGCCACACCGTCAAGCTTCCAAGCCTGAGCGCCAACCGCAATCCGATAACCACTGCCGTAAATTTGGGGTTTAGGGTTTAGGGTAACACCGGAACCCGCGCAGTCTTGACTCGCAAGCCCTAACCGCTAACTAACACTCAGCACCCAGATACAAGTCTACACGCTTTTTGATGCAGGGCAGAATTAGGGCTTGAGGTTTAGGGTTGAAAGACCCTAGAAGCCGTAAACAGACTCTTAAGCCCCAACATCCGGAAACCCCTAGAAAGCCATAGTTTAGGCCTAAATCTGCATCAAAGGATTATCGGAAGTATTGGCTGTGCTATGATCCTAATTTTAGGGCTTACACTGTGAAATCCTAATGCAAACCTATCGCACCTTACAAGCTACATCAAGCTATTATAACCCTAAACCTAAAGCTTCAACTGCGAAATATATAAGGGTACTATAAGGGCTCCTTTTTGGGTAGTTCTCTAAAAGTCCGAATACACCTTACAGGCGGCGTTATGCCAGTAGCGCCTGCTGCAGTGCGCGGTTCTCGCATTTCGAGGCTTCCAGTTCCTCGAGGAGGTCGTCCCGCTCCTGTTCTGAGGGTTTGGGGTTTGGAGTTTGGGTTTTGGGATTTGGGGTGTAAAGTTTAGTTAGGGTTTAGGGTTTGGGACTAGGAGGTGGAGGGTTTGGGGGCTGAAGGTTGTTGGGGTGTGAGTTTAAAGAAGTTTTAAGGATTGTCTGCCCACACAGCTTTCGTCTTGCTACATGGTGTAGGCTTTGGTCAATTTTAGTCAACGCTTATGGTGCATCCTAGACTCAAAACTAAAGCCCCCTTCATGGCGTGGCCCTACACCCCGGGACCTAGCTGCGAAGCAGATGTCCTGAAGGTTCAGGGATTGCGGTAATACGGGTCACAATATTTGGATAGTAACTATGACCAACATTTCAATGCTTGTTTCTAACAGCAATAACAATCGTAAGCAGCCCTCAGGAGTAACATTGGTAATTACTCGGGCTTCTACGTTATGGGCTTTGGGATTCCGGCGCCTCGAACCCGAGATGCCAAACAACCCAAACAAGCGAAGGAAGGCTTCAAAGCGATGCTGGTGCACAACCTAAACCCCAAACCCTAAACCCTAAGCTCTAAACGGGCTTAATGAGGCCTTTTTCAAGGCTACGGATTTAGGACGGCTCTTCGTGCTCTTATAGGTCGATAATTGGCTTCACGGTATAGCAATACAGGGACTAGGCAGGAACAATCTGGCCCGGTACTTCTAAGCCGTTCGAAAACCGTACAAAAAACAAATTATCAGGAGAACGACTGCTGTTGTCCAGGCCGCTATGGCATTGTATTGCATACTATACCATACTAGATCAAGGCGTAAACCTAATAATACGGCTCCTTCTCCAGCGCGGTGATGCGTCCGGAGAAGATCTCCACTTCCTGATTTAGGTTTTGTTAGGTGGTCTTAGGCTTTTAGGGTTGGCCGGGTTTGGGGGCTTTTCGGCTGTGATTAGGGTTCAACCGATCTTTAAGGCTTAGGGCTCATATGATTTTTGAGGTTTTAGGGCTCCGGGTTTGAGGGTTTGGGTTTTGGTGTTTAGAGTTTTCGGTGTTTGCAAGTCTTGAAAGTAAACTTCGTCCCCAGAGCCTGCTGGAATCCTAAACCCCCCATTGGGCGACAGAGTCTTGACCATGGATCTTTGGCGACTCTGTCAAATGCTCTCAAAACAAGTTCTGTTGTGGAGTAAGTTTTGTATGAACGTATGCATGTATGCATGTACAGATGTATGTATGCGTGTTACATATGTACACGTCTGCGTACTTATGTGTGTAAAGAATCCTTATGGAGAGGGGGAGCAAGAATGCCGGCTCCCAAAGCTCCATCCTAAACCCTACACCTACACCCTAAACCCTAAACCCAAAGCTCCATCTACAGCCATTCTGGGTCCTGAGGCTCTCCAAACCTACCTTGGTGCCTTCTGGAAACTAAGATAAACTAAGCGTGTGCGGGGGCAGTTCTCTAAATTAGGGTCCCTTTTTAGGTCCCCAAAATAGTACGACACCCTCTTGAAAGGGACCCTAACAGGAACTCAATTTCCAGATCTGAACACGCACCTTTAAAGAGTTACGGGTGTTTATCAGGGTTTCAAGTTCAAAACCCTAAACCCTAAACCCTAAACCCCTGTGCCTTGTGCGCAGCCGCGCAGCGCTCCTCCGCCGCGGTACAGCGGGCCTGTGAGAGGTAAGGGCCTGTTGACTCGGGCTTCGGGGTTTAGGGCTTTTGGGTTCAGGGTTTAGGGTTTAGGGCGTTTAGGGCTTTTGGGTTCAGGGTTTGAGAGTGTCAGGTTTGAAGGTTCAAGTTCTCAGAGAAATTCAGGTTTTAGGGCTCAGGGGCATAAGTCTTAAAGTTTTCGTGATTTAGAGTCAAACACCTCGGGGTTTAGGGTTACCTGGAAGGGTTTTAGAAGCATTGACAGAGGAGCTGTCAGGTTTCATGAAGTGTCTTCGTAAGGGTTGCATGTGGTTCCTATGGGGTAGCATTAGCCCGACACCCCAAACTCCAAAACTCTGAAAACCCAAAGCCTTAATCGAGGTCCCTAAAGTCAAACACTGAATTTCGTAGGCTGTAAAGGGTTTGGGCATTCCAGGAGGAGGGCACTTACCAGGTGGATGTCTGCCACCAGCTCCACCGGGGATCCAGGAGGATCGAGCGGGAACCCATGCTCTAGGAGGGTGAACAGAACCCTCCAGCGCTTATCACGCCTCCTCGAGGGGTTCCAGGATTTCATAATGGTAATGATAATACTCAACATTATTATTATTATTGTTATTATTATGATTATAACGCTTATAATGTTGTTACATACCATTATCATATCAAAGAACACCAACACCAATCTTAGTCAATCTTGGTGCTGCCATATCCAAGCGGTCAACCCCCAAGTCGGATGCCCCAGTGTCTCGAAGAACGAATCTAGCGCTTGATAATGAGAGAATACACCGTGAAGTGGTATGCTGAGCTGCCCTCACGACCCAGGCTCTTGAGGTAGTCGGCAGCCAGCTCCGCCTTCTCCTGGATCAAACCCTGCATTCGGGTTGCGTCGCTCCACGGCGATCCAATCGAAAATCGGAGGACGCTGCGTCCTTGCCAGGCCATCGTCGCGGCGAGCTCCTGGAATCTCTGCGACATCTCGGCCTCGGCGCTGTGATGAGGAATCTTCAAAACCATCCTGATACCCCTAAACCCTAAACCCTAAATCTCTAAACCCCTAAACCCCAAACCACCACTGAGCCTCTCAAACCCATGATCTTCCGCTCTCTGCGGCTCCTTTCCTTTGTGGACACCGGCATGCTCACAAGCGCGTTCAGCAAAGCTAACCCTCTGAACCCGACGGTGCCGGATCGAAAATAACGCAGTATAGGAGTCTTCATCATTAGAATAGGCGTTGGGGGTATCTTGTACCATCACTACATGATGAATGCAGGAACCCTACGGAATAGATTCTACATGCAAGCCTTACACCCCGAGCCTCTATAGACCCCAAACCCTAAAACCCATATTGCAGAACCTTGCAGAATCTTATAGTAACCCGTTAAAGAACTTTTAACTGAAAAGGAATATTTCTGGAACTCACATAGTAACTCTTTTTCAAGCACCCTTAAGGGAACCTTTAAGGAAACCAAGCTCGCCAGTCTTTCCCCAAACAGGAACGCCTTGGCTTCGGCTGTGGCCGCAGCACGGGCTTCCGAAGTCTTCACCACCTGTGATGGTCTAGGATTTGTGGGCTTGAGGGTTTACGCCTTGTGCGTTTCCGGGTTTTGGGAATTCTAATTCAGAGTAGGAAACTTCAGGATGATTATAGGGTTTAGGGACTAAGGTTCGGGCGCGGGGTTTTGGGTCATGTTATGTTGTGCTGCTACGGTGTTGTGTTGATAGCTCTTCCGGGCTTAAGGTACGGGCTTTACTCCATTGCCGCTGGTTTTGGGTATCAGGTTCGTGGGGCATTCGGATTTTCTTTCTTTGAAGGAGCGGATTTGCAGATTTTACGGTTTTGCAGCTGAGGGTTTGAGCTTGTTTGAAGCAAGGTAGATTTCCTTTCATCCCAAACCCTATAATGTTGTGAATGGTTGCTCAAGCGATCTGTTGTGGGGATGTGCGCTCTTGAGACCGAATCGCCCAGAGCTCTCACGCTTTGGGGATCAGGGTTTATGCAGCATCTTCAAATGTAAAGGAACTCTCAGGGTTTCATCAAATTTACAGGGACTCTCAGGGTTTTATGGAGGATCTAGCGTCGTCAGTGCTTCGACTATGTGCCTTAGCTGTGGAGAGCTGGAGGAAGTGGCATAGGGAAACGTTAAGTGATATTCAGTAGGTGCCTGATTAGAGCCCTCAACCTTAAGCCTTAAGCCCTAACCCCCAAACCCTGAACCACATGCAGTATAAAGGTTTCCGGCTTGTTTCCTGTGCCCGATGCGCAAGTTCTGCATCTCCGGCTGCTTGGTACACTTCCAGATATTCCGCCGCCCACTGTCATTGACGATGAAGTGCATTTGTTCACGGATGGGTCCACAGAGTATGGTAAGACAGGTGTCTTGGCTTATAGTTCTCTGGTCTTTGATGTTGGCTACCGTTGGTGAGCGTGATTTTGTGTGTATTTTATCTGGTTGCCTCCCAGGGGTCGTGCAAACGAATTAAAACGCGAATGGGCTTACAATACACCGTTAAGCCCTGGACCCCTGGACCCTAAGCTCTTACCCTCAAGTGCAACCCCCGAACCCTGAAGCCCCAACCCCTTCAAGTAACTTGTAGCTTGAAGAAACTCAACTAAAGCCCTTCTGAAGGCTTGCCCAAGGCACGACAGCAAGCTGGTCTTGTAGAGACGTGGAGAGAATCCGATTTTCATTCGCCGACTGGGAGGCCTTTGCAAGGGCGACTTGAGGATGATGAGTTGAGCGCTTCTGGGTAATATATATGTATATATATATGTATATAAATACATATATAACTATGCATGCATGCATACATGCACGTACGTACGTAGGTATGTACGTATGTGTATGTGTGTATGTGTGTATGTGTGTATGTGTGTATGTGTGAATGTGTGTATGTGCGTATGCATGTATGTATGTGTGTATGTATATATATATATACACACTTATCTACATATATATATATATATATACACACACATACCGCGCCTACCGCAAAAGCACCTCATTCGGGACCATGTTCATACTTCGCACGATAGCTAGCTACTTTAATTCGAACCTACTTTCAGGTAAGCGTGGCCTTCAAGTAGGCTTGAAGGTTCAGGGTTTCGGTTTCGGGCATGGCGGGAGTGGTGGGACTTACAATAAGGCGTTTCGTCATGGCCACACACTTCTGCCCAAAACTTCTAAGCTTCTATTATTTTGGGAAGCCTCCTACGACATACCCTGAGAGCCAACGAAAAAATATTTCCAAACACTATTCTTGAGCTATCAAGTCTGGATAGGGACCGACATCTTTAGACTCAGATGTCGTCTTTTGCTGAGAAGCCTAGCCCAGTGACGGTTTAGGGGTTATAGGGTTTATAGTTTAGTTTAGGTTCGCGGAGAGACTGAGCCAGTCATATCCAACAGCCTCCCGAGCGTTCTGGGGCTTATGGCGAGTTCCTTGTTGGGTCTTAGTGGCTGCAGCAATCGCGGGACACAGTGCACCTCGTCGTCAGGCTCTGCGAAATGCCGCTCCTTGGCCAGGGCCATCGCAGGTGGCGTGATGTCCGGGACAGGATGGCTGTCGTCATACGCCAGGCAGGGTTCCTTCACCTTCCCGACTTGGGTTGCGGAATTCATGGTGCTTTTCGACATTTTCAATGAGAGCGTGGCTTTCGACAGTTTATTTTTGCACCCCACACCAGGTCGTGAGCCAGGTCTTGATCGTAGTGGCACCTTGCGCTGTGCTTTCCGCAGCCCCATCTCCAGGGAGAGAACTTGTGTGACAGGAGGCCTCTTGCTGAGGCGTTGGGGTTTAGGGCTTGGGGTTTAGGACCTAGGGCTCTCATGTTTGGGCTTTAGAGTAATATGTCGTTTACTTACGGGTTTCGAAAAAGGATCTTGATTTTGCCACAAGGCTCTGCTACACTGGAGGGAGGCCCTAACGACTAAAGGCTTCAGCCCTTGGCACGGTAAGTTTCAAACTCTAAAGCCCTACATCTGTTAGGGTTCGGGGCTCAGGGTGTTTTTCGGGTTTAGGGATTTAGGGGTTTGCAGGGTCTAGGGATTTAAGGATTTAGGGCTCAGGAATTTAGGGATTTAGGGTTTGGGATTTATGGTTTAGGTTCAGGGTTGCTGCAGGTAGGGTTTAGTGTTTCGGTAGTCATTGCCGGTTTCAGACCTGGCACGCATAGACCCTCACTTGCCACTGCTAGACAAATAAAACATAATATACTACGTGCACTATACTATACTATACTATACTGTACTGTACTGTACTGTACTATGCTATATGACTGCATACCATGCCATGCCATACTCTACTATACTACTATACTGTACTATACGCACTATAACATAGTAGCATCCCAAGGAGGTGCCACCACTAAACAAAGCCGACTCTGGAGTTCCGTCTGACCCAGCTTAGGGCTTCCGGGTTGAAATCACTACGGCACTACGGTACAAGAACCAAAGGCTCAGGCGTGTCCAAGAGGGTCCCGTTTATGATGCCATTATGGCGTTTGAAAATTTGGCCCCCAAAACCCCGAGAAGGATGGCTTTTTGGGATGTAATTTCATATGATTGGGGGCGTCATTCCATTTTTTACAGTAGATATGGACCCTCAGGGTATGGTTTAAGAATCGGTTCAGGGCTTGCTTGCATGCGCATTGCATTCTATGTCGTTTTCCTGAAAGGTTTAAGATTAAAGCCGAAACTCGATGCCGGCGACCCCCAAAACCCTTAAAGCCGGCCTATGCTTCGTCTACCAAAGGACGTAGCCTTCGCGAGTTGTGAGCGCAATGGAGCCAAAGAGGCTTCCTCGCGGAGAGCTATTGGGTTCAGAGTTCCCAACCTTGTGCCCCCAGTTGGGGCCCAGCAGGGATACACAAAACTTTAGGGTTTTTTTTGAAATGCAATCCCTAAAGTTTAGGGTTTTGGGTCTAGGGTTTAGGGCTACAAAACACAGATTCGAAACAAAACCCCCCAAACAAAAACTGAGCAAGAAAGGCGCACACACCTTCAGTTTCGAAAGACTTGCAGGTTTCACTATGGCGGTCGCTTGTGGGCAGTTTCGGGTTCTTCAACTTAGGCGCCTTCACAATTGGAACAGGTGTTGGGGCATATCCTGATATAATTACACTAGGAACTACAAAGGGATACTAGTTACTAACTATTTCGAGCCCTTTATTATATTGTAGACTGAAAGGATCCTACGATAGCAGTAGCCCTGGCTTAGTTCATGCTCTCTTTCTGATGTTGTTAGCCCATGAACCAAACCCTAAACCCTCAATGTTCGGGGTTTAGGGTCCCCTAAACCCTGAACTGAACCGGGATGCTTCCTTTGGGAACCTCTTCAAACATTTTTGGGCTCTTTTTGTGGAGGCTCGCCCCCTCTTTTCTGAAACTCCCCTGTGGGGTCTTCAGGGATGAGGTTGACCTTAAAGGCATCGCAAGGCCCGGTTTAGGGTTTAGGATTTAGGAGTTAGGGCTTCGGGTTCTACACGCCCGAAACCTTCAACCCTAAACCAGGTTAGCCCTTTCAAGCCTCCGAAAGATATTCGTAAATAAGATCCTCTTCAGCCCAACAAGCGGGAAAAGGGACTAAACCCTAAACCCTAAACCTTAACCGTACCCGGTATAAACGGTTCTTCTCTGAACCCTATGAAGCCCAATCTAAGCACTAAGCGCCCGAAGCCCGGTAACTGGCCGGAGTCCTTCTCAGCTAGACGGACCTGCGATGCGGGAGGGAAGGCTTCTAGGTTTGGGCCCTTTGGGTAGGATTCGGGTTTGATGAGGGGCGCCCTAAACTCGTCTAAAAAAAATGGCAACCTGAGGAATACTAATTATGGGCTTTTGTTTGGGCTTCTATCTTCTAGGATTTTACTTAGGTCTCAGGATGGCTTTGAACTCGAATCTTACTAAATCCTAAACCTGAAAGCGTCCTTAACCTGCGTCTCACTGGTCTTAGGACGCCTAAAAACTTAAAGCTCCTAGAGGCTCAGAGGGCTGCAGGGCCTGTGAAGTTCGTGAAGTCAGGGCTTTCGAGCCACGGGTCCGGACCTATCTGGTCTAATTATGCTCTTTGCAGATGGCTTCGTGTTCAGGATTTGGGGAAGCATGCGGTTCCTAATAAGGCCTTAGATGCAACTTTAGAGCCGCAGTCTCGAGGATGATTGCACCAGAGTCAAAAGTATGCCTCCCCGTGCCCTAAAGCACCAGAGCCCCCTGACGCCATTAGCGGGACATGTGGCCGTCCGTACAGTGCGGCACAAGGAGTGCAGGAGGCATGTACGGCTCATCCCAGGTTTGGTCCAATTGTTTGCAGTCGCGGCTGCAGTGTCTCCACCCTCGCACGGTGGCTGTGGAGCTCCTTGCGACATGGTTGAAACAGTGACATGCTGGAGCGATGGAGAGTAATTTCTTCGTTCTCCGCACTAAGCCAGTTCACAGGCACGACATCCAGGAGACCCGACAGAAGGGGCCTGACCCAAGCAGGTGCTTGGGGTTTCTCTAGGGTTTCGAGACTAGGATGTAGGGCAGGGTTTAGGGTATGTAAATCATACCCGTTACCTGCTGTCAGGCATATTTCCTCATGTAGCTGGTATCGATCTACGGCGGCTTCACTTGTTGCACCTCGACCTTCCACCTCGAAACTCTGAACCCTAAACCTCCACACACCTTCCACCCTAAAACACCTAAACTCGGCCCTAAACCTCAAAACACCTAAACCCTAAAGCCTAAACCTCCCCCGAAACCCACGCACATACTTGTGGCAGATGGCCTCAACTTGCACACGTGCCTCCTCGCGGCAGCACACTACGAAAATCTACGAAATTCGCCCGTCAGGTTTCAGGACATAGGGCTTCGGAGGGTTTGGGGTTAATTTAGGATGGCTAGTATAGTTCGCTTTGGTATAGTATTTGAGATCAGACTGTGGAGTTTCAATCTAACGCGGCCGAAACATGGTTAGTAGGACACTTCCGGGATGAAGTTGTGGGTTAAAACGCTTAGGGTTTAGGGTTATTCATTGGGGGCAAAGCGGTTTAGGGTTCAGGGGTGGGTATAGTGAGAAGGGTTCAAGAGATTCAAGAGAGGACACTGTGGGTTAAGCGGAGCATTCCTGCAACCATATGGATGTTTCAGGGCGTCACAAGGGTTGCGTAACCCTAAACCCTAAACCGCTGTAAGAGTGTTGATATCGGGGCCTTCATAATTGGAACAGGGTTTGGGGGTACTAAGAATATTATGGTTAATCGTTCCGGCTCCTACATTAGTTACATAGTTGAACCCTATTACGGAACCCTCGGGTACCCTGAACGTACCCCTGAGGTTGTCGAAAGGGGGGTTTCAATGTGAATCCTGGAAGCCCAAACCCCTAAACCCGAAAACCCTAAACCTAAAAACCCTAAAGCCCTAAAACCCAAAGCCCGAAACCCAAAGCCCTCAACCCTAAGCCCTAAACCCTAAGCTCCCTCAACTCTGAGCTCCACCAAAAGGCCTTCCGACGGTTTGCGAGTTTACAGGAAGGCTGTAAAAAGGGACCTGACCAAGAAGCCTTGGGTTCTTTTTTGGAATCTCTTGATATGGATCCTTATACTTTTGGGGTTATAGGTTTATACTTTTGGGGTTATAGGTTTATACTTTTGGGGTTATAGGTTTATACTTTTGGGGTTATAGGTTTAGGGGGTTGTAGGTTTAGGGGGTTAGGGTTTAGGGGTTTGGGTGTTTAAGGTTTCTTAACCAGGTTCCTAGATTATGAAGCCTTGGACTCTCAGACAGCTGTCGGCAGAGTGAGAGAGCACAGACCGATGGAGAGTCCCTCCACCATCCTGAACCCTAAATTCCGAACAAAAAGGTAACCCCAAAACAATCCTAAACCCCTGAACCCTAAATTCCGAACAAAAAGGTAACCCCCAAAAAGACCCTAAAACCCCCTAAATGCGAGCACGAGTAACCTTAGCCTTCAACTCAATCCACGCCGCCCGAACACTGGGATCCTCCACAGCCTTTGTCGCAGATGAAAGCCCAGGAGCGTCTGGAAGGGTGACATGTTCTCTAGAATGAGCTCCCTTTCAAGGCCGCCCACATCATCCGGGAGGACTGGGTCCAAGTCCAGGTCTGGCTGCCGCTGCCAACCGGTGCTTTTCAACACGCCCTCGAACCAGCCTTCATAGACCGTCTCACAATCTCCCCATGACTCCGGGGGGCCAGGCTCCCATGACAACATGCTCGAGCTGTACTGCACGCCGAGATACTCGCAAATGGACTTCAAAGCGGATGGCGGGTCTCTGATGAGCTCATCTGAATAGACGAAGAGCACGTTGTCGCTTCCGAGCTGTGACGTCAAACGTTCCGCGTATTCCACCAGTCCGGAGTAGGAAATGTCGGCTCTCATCAGCTCCACAGGGTAGTCAGCAATATGCAGGTAAGACTTCACAGCTCGGTGTGGATGTCGGAACAGGATCACGTGCTTAGCCCCAGGCAGAGAGCTCAGCACCATGTCCAAGGTCTTCAAACCGCCGTGGCAAGGCATGTCTTTGACGACTTGCAAAAGCCGGTGGGATGAAGAAGATGATGAAGCAGGTGCCGACAAGAGCTGTCCGCTCTTCAAAGCGTGAAGTGCTTGCTCGTAAGTCGGAGGATTCTCTTCGACCCCGTGGTATGCCCCCACATCGACTTGAAACGGATACATAAACGGTTCCACAATGGTAGCGATCGACGGGAGTTCTGCCAGAGACCGCATCAAGACGGTGCTCAATGACCGCGGGTGGGACCAGATAAACACTGTCTGAAACGCAGAGGTTTCTGCAACCTTGCCCCCTTCCTCGTTACAGGTCTTCGACGGGTCCTCGTCTCCTGCTACGGCATTAGCATCCTGGGTCCCTGGTCTCCGGATGCGATGGCCATGCCACCAGAAGATGGCAAGGCCGCCGGTGACGGCGCCAAGACAAAATGCGAGGGCCAGCATGGAATGATGTGAGGAAGTTGAGAAAGAACAGTCGAAGCACTGCTACGTCATATACACATGCCCCATATACTGTGCATGTATAGTGTAGAAATACTTCTGCATATAATATGCACACACTATCTTCCGTAATTTATTACTAGCTATGTGTCTATGTATCTATCTATCCATCTACCTGCCCGCCTAACTAGCTAGCTGACCGTCTGTCTGTCTGTCTGTCTGTCTGTCTGTCTGTCTGTCTGCCTATCTCTTTATGTATCTTTCGCAGAAGCCGGAGCGGTTAGTATAATGATTTAATGTCGGTCTCGTTGTTGAGATCATGGGATCCACTAGCCTTGTTGACCTTGAACAGCTGACAAGAAACTCTGCAGCGCTGCAGCTCTTTAGGTTCACAGCTTCATCACCAAACATATGGCAACAACGAACTCAACGACTTTGTCAACAATTGCGGACAACCCTTGCCCTAAACCCCAAACCCCTAAAGGCCCCAAACCCCAAAGGCCTAAACCCTAAACCCTAAACCCCCCAAAGGCAAAAGACCCTGAAGGCCTAAACCCCAAAGGCCCTAAACCCCCCAAAGGCTCTAAACCCTAAACCCCCAAAAGGCCCTAAACCCTGAAGGCCCTAACGGGCCCCCAGGCCCTAAAGGCCCTAAACCCTCAAATGCCGCAGAGTCCTCGGAGGCAGCTGCCCGAGCCAAGGCCTGGCCCAGTCGGCTTGGGGTTTATAGGGCTTAGGTTCCGGTTTCTGGGTGTTGCGGCTTTGTAGGCTCTAGGTTTGGGGTCTATAGGGCTTAGGTTGTAGGGCTTTAGGCTTAGGTTTGGGGTCTATAGGGCTTAGGTTGTAGGGCTTTGGGTTTAGGTTTGGGGTCTATAGGGCTTAGGTTTGGGCGTTATAGGGCTTTGGGTTCTTGGTTTTTGGGCTTATAGGGTTTAGGTTTGGGGTCTACAGGGCTGTTATGGGAGTTTTGGGGTTTTGGGCTTGTAGGGTTCACGTTTGGGGTTTAGGGTTCAGGGTAAAGGTTTAAGCGTTGCGGGCGTCGGATCGGTCTTGAAACCTGATGGCAGGCAAAAGCCTCTGGGTTCTACTCGCAAGAGCCCAGAAGTTGGAAACCTCCAAAGCCTCAATCCTCAAGAGTCATGTTGAGGGAATCCCGGCACCTTTTGTCCTCAATCCGGCTTCCAACTTCTGGGGGGTTTCCTCTAAGGTGCTGCCCTAAACCCTAAACCCTAAAAGCCCTAAACCCTTTCTGGATATACCGGGCAGCTCCGAGGATCCTATTTAAACACTGATCTTCTTCCTCCAATCCTAAACACCTAAACTTAGGGTTTAGAGTTCCCAGGGTTTAGGGTTTTAGGGTTTAGGGCCCTAAGACCCTGCAGAAGAGGCACGTCGTAGGGCTTGCAGGTGCGCTCGAAATTAAAGAGTCGACCCATGTACCTCTGCAAAGCCTTCAGCAGAACCTTGGCATATCTTGACCATTCCTGGTTCTACATAAGAACTCTTCTTGATATCTTAAATGCTCTTGCCCAAACCCGAAACCCTACCCTAAACCCTAAACCCTAAACCCTAAACCCTAAATCCTAAACCCCAAACCCGAAACCCGAAACCCTAAACCCAGCTCTCCGCGCCTCGTCTGCCTCGGATTTCGCTCTGAGGGCCTCCTCTGAGGCCTTCGCAACAGCCTCCGCCATTTGAGGGCCCCAGGGGGGGGGGGCCCTGAACACTGGACCCTTTTTGGGTTTGGTTGAAGGCTTTAGGGCTTTAGGGTTGAAGGCTTTAGGGTTTTAGAGTTTCGGGGCTTTAGGATTTAGGGCTTTCGGGCTTTAGAGCTTGAGGGTTTTAGGGTTTAGGGTTTTGGAGTTTTAGGGTTTAGGGTTTTAAGGTTTTAGGGTTCAGGGTTCAGGTGTATCCCACCTAAGAAGGGCTTGCCTCAAGGGGTCAAATGCGGGTTTTTGGGAGTTGGATTCTGTAGCGTCTTCATAGGGTTACAGAGCCCTGACAAGGTGCTGTTTGAAAGGGTTATATACGTATGTCTGTGTATATATACATATATATATATACATACATACATACATACATACATATATATATATAAACATCCCATGTATATATGTATGTATATATACATATATACGAGACCAAAAAAAGAGATAGAGAATAGATCGAGCGACGGCTTGTACAAGGGTTTGGCTGGATTCTGTACAGGGTCTGCGTAACAAGCAACATCCATCCGGAAAGCAAACACTAGAACATACTTGTTATAGTTTTCAAGATCCCCGCAGCCCCTCGTCCTAGTCTACTCATTCAGGCTTCTGTGTTGCCAGCAGGGAAGGGTTTTTTGGGGGATGAGGGTACAAGAGTTTAGGGTTTCCGACTTTAAAGAGTTTTGGGACAAGGAGCTCTCTAGAGGCTCAGAGTTGCGGGTTCTGGTGTGAGATGTAGGTTTAGGGGTTAACGGTTTAGGGGTTTAGGGGTTTGGGATGTTTGGGGGATCGGTTCAGTGTTGTAGAAAGGTTCTGGATTTGTGAACGCTTTCCGGCTTTTACAGGGTTGCTAAACTGAGGCTGCCTCTATCTACGTTACGGGAACACCGGTGTGGAATAAACCGTCGATGCCAGCACAGCTGCGCAGGAGGCTAGGATTTGAAGGTTCGGGTTTAGTGCTTGTGGTTTGCAGCATGTTTGTGGATGCAATCGGAGAACATTTTGAAGGCAGGTGTCCATGACACCCCACAAAGTCTACAAAGGCTTGTTGCAGCTTGAGGCTTAGGATCACGTTAAATCCAAACTCGAAGCCCTAAACCCCCGAACGATGAACCCACACTCTAGACAAGTTCGCCCTTTGCCCAGCGAGGCTCTGAATTTAAAGCCTAAACCCTAAACCCTAAATCCAAATCTTGCACAAGTTTCGGGGGCCCCAAACCCTAAACCCCAAAACCGAAAACCTAAACCCTAAAACCTAAACCTTAAAACCTAAACCCTAAACCGAAGCAAAGCTGCTCAAATCCAGGGCTCCAGGGAAGAGGAGAGATGCGGGCTAGGATCCAGGGCTTCCGGTCTCAGGCTGAAACTTCCGGGTTTAGGGCTGAAAGGGCTTAGGGCTTATAGGGCTTAGAGGGTTTAAGGCTTAGGGCTTAGAGAGTTTAAGGTTTTAGGCTTTAGGGCTCACAGGGTTTAGGGCTTATTAGGGTTTAGGGTTTAGGGTTCAGGGTTTAGGGCTTGAACTCGACAAGAATCGCTGCCTGTTTTCCCAAAGCGCGACGTCTTCAATGTACCGGGCTTCAATTCGAAGCATCTTTATGACCCTGAGCCCTACGACGAGATCGGCGTCCGCCTGGCGAGACACCGCCGTGGCTGTCCTTGGCATGGGCTAGCTCTATTTATCAGGAGGTTTAGAGTTTAGGCTTGATGGGATTTCGGGGGGGTTCAAGCAACAAGCATTCTGTGTGAAATGCGTTCTTTTAACAGTACCAGCCAGAAGGCACTCTCAAGAGGTACTGCTGCAACTGTGCTAAATGAGAGTACCATACCCCAAACCCAGACAACACCAAAACCTGAAAGGCCCAAAAGCAGTGTTGGAGCTTTGCGATGCGGATATACGGTCTCCGGGTGTATTGACGGCTGCGAACGTCAGGCTGCAAAGGCGAAGCTGGAAATCCCCAAATCAACCCGAATCCCTAAACCAGCCCTGCCCCCTCTTCGAGTTGAGCTTGCAAATTTGAGCTGAAAGGCCTTAGAGGCTGCTGAATTGGGCTTATCGGATTTTAGGGTGTGCAAGGGGATGCCTTTCAGGCATTTTGTTTGAAAGGCATGGACGGGGTTAATACTGTTGCATCAGGGTTTCTAGGACTAGGCAGACTACTTCAGCAAGCTTAGAGTCAGGAATTCCCAATACTATCAACAGATGCCCGATACGACTCCAAAACCCACCAAAACGAGCCAAACCCCCTAAACCCTAAACCCTACACCCTACAGCCTAAACCCTAAACCCTCAACCCTAAACCCTACACCCTACAGCCTAAACCCTGAACCCAGCTCTGAGGGTTTGTATTTTGTAAGGGCTCTACGGCCTATCGAGTCAAGGTTGCAGACCCCGAAGGACAGTGAGTGGTGGCTACGCTTCACACAGCTCTTTCAACAGGGCCAGCTGAGGACCCTAGGATTTAGGCTTTAGGGCTTAGGTTTTAGGGTTTAGGGTTTACCAAAACCGAACAGAGAGGCCTTGACAGGTAGAATGGGGTTTCGGGATAGGTTGTGGTATGCTTTCTATTGTATGGGGACTATGAGGGATACTACTACTGCTGATTCTGACCCGTTATTAACTTAGAAGGGTGTTCTATACTGTTACTTCTTGCTTCGACGTTGATGGCACTATCTTTACGAGTTGTCGACTTGTTTTACTATAATATTGCTTCTTGTGCTGCCATCATTCTGTTCTGCTTCTACTTCGTGAGCCAGCACCCAGAAGACTAACTGCCGAAGGGCAAAGGAACCAGAAAGCGCAGTGCCGCCGCAATGGAGTCCTCATCAAACCTGTTCTTTAAACAGTGAACATTATAAACCCTATACTCGAATCCTAAACTGAGCTCCGCAACCTAAGCCCTAAACCCTAAACTCTGAACCCTGAGCCCTGAACCCTGAACTCTAAACCCCAAACGTCAAACGCTCTGAGCCCTAAATAGGACCTGTCGGCCCTGAAAAACCCTACCTTTTTGCAGCTTCATATAAGGAAATCATAATAAGGAGCCCTCATCAAGTAGGTTATTTGCGATAAGGTAAACCGCAAACCCTTAAACGCCAAATAATATAGACTTTAGTCCTGAAGTGCCCAAACTGGGACTACTGTACCCAAACTGGGACTACTTTAAGGCCAAAGTGTATACTGCTTGGGTACGTGGACCCTGTTTCCCCTCAATAAACCCTAAACCCTTATGGCACCCAAGGAAACCCGACAAGGAACCCTCTAAACCCTACTTACTAAGCCCTCCTGGAGCCACCTGA